CACAGGCCAGGCTGAGGGTCCCCCCCCTCCCCCGCACGAATGTCGTGGAATGGGCCTCTGGTTCTTAATAAATCAGATCTAGACATCGGCTCCTTGGTGGTCTCGAGCAGCAACGATAACAGCTCCGTTCGGGCAAGAACAGGGAGCTGAGCCGGCCCAGGGGGTGGGGGCGAAGGAAAGCCCTTCTCGACCCCAGAGCCTGGCGGGAGGGAGCCTTCCCCTCTCAAGACTCCTCGCCCGGAACCATCGGTGGCCGCGAAAGCCAGTGTCTCCCTCCTTTCCCCCCTCACGTGCCTTGGCGGTGAGGATTCCCGCCCCGGCCAGTGTGGCTCAGTGGGTAGAGCGTCGGCCTGCGGACTGAAGGGTCCCGGGTTCGATTCTCGCTCAGGGCACATGCCCGGGATGCGGGCTAGATCCCCAGTGTGGGGCGTGCAGGAGGCGGCCGATCCGCGATTCTGTCTCATCATGGGTGTTTCTCTCTCTCACTCCCTCTCCCTTTTTCTCTGAAATGGATAAAAAATAACAACAAAAATAAACAAGACTGCTTGACCAGACGAGGAAGCCCCGGGCACAGAGAGGCACATCGGTTAGCACGTTGCTGCAAAGCTGGCTCTGGGTCTGCGTCTGGATGTGCACAGAGGCAGGAGGAAGGGGGACTCACACCACAGGTGGTATTTGGTTGCCCGTGTGATCAGATGACAATGTTATTTTTTTAAATATATTTTATTGATTTTTTACAGAGAGGAAGGGAGAGGAATAGAGAGTTAGAAACATGGATGAGAGAGAAACATCGATCAGCTGCCTCCTGCACACCCCCCACTGGGGATGTGCCTGCAACCAAGGTACATGCCCTTGACCGGAATCGAACCCGGGACCCTTGAGTCCACAGGCCGACGCTCTATCCACTGAGCCACACCGGTCAGGGCGACAGTGTTATTTTGTTCAATGGTGTTTTCCAGGGAGAAATTCCTGGAAGCCACGTCGCTAGATAAGGTTTCGGATTCCAAGGATGCTTTTACAGAGTCTGTCCCCGTCTGGCGTGCAAGATTAGCATTTATCTGGCCTGGCTGGTGTGACTCATGCAGGAGGCAGCAGGTCCACGTTCCCCACTCTCTCTCTCTCCCTCTCCCTTCCTCTCTCTCTAAAAGCAATAAAAGATCTTTTAAAAAGAGAAAAAGACCCCTGACCGGTGTGGCTCAGTGGATAGAGCGCCGGCCTGCGGACTGAAGGGTCCCGGGTTCGATACCGGTCAAGGGCATGTACCTTGGTTGCGGGCACATCCCAGTGGAGGGTGTGCAGGAGGCAGCTGATGGATGTTTCTCTCTCATCGATGTTTCTAACTCTCTATCCCTCTCCCTTCCTCTCTGTAAAAAAGCAATCAAATGTATTTTTTTTAAAAAAGAGAAAGAAAAAAACAAAGATATATTTGAGTCCTTCCTTAAAAAAAAAAAAAAAGTGCCCATTTATCCAAAAGCTTTGGCACCAACAGGTATTATGGCTTTAAATATTTGTATCAACTTTATGATTTAAAATGGCATTTTATCATTTAAATCTGTTTGCAGGCAGTCCTCAGGTTACGACAGACTCGACGTACGTCGTTTCGTGGTTACATCGCCATCTCCCATTTATTTATTAAAAATAAGTTCCGGCCCTGACCGGTGTGGCTCAGTGGATAGAGCATCGGCCTGCGGACTGAAGGGTCCCGGGTTCGATTCCGGTCAAGGGCATGTACCTCGGTTGTGGGCACATCCCCAGTAGGAGACGTGCAGGAGTCAGCCGATCCGGGATTCTCTCTCATCGATGTTTCTAACTCTCTATCCCTCTCCCTTCCTCTCTGTAAAAAATCAATAAAATATATATTTTTTAAAAAGTTCCGTCATTTCGACGTATGTGCCTATGTGCTTTATGTTTTTTATTTATTTACCACAAGGAAAGGTCAGGAATTGTTATCTTTTACATTTTTTTTTTACTGTTTCCCTTCATGACTGCTGTGTCTGTGCCCATGTGACGTAGGTGCATATGCAGGTGGGTTCCGGACGACGGCGAAAATTGCGTTATGTCGCCGTAGGAACGGGTCCCGACGTAACGCGAGGACCTGCTGTATTTGATGCTAGAGGCCCAGAGCACGAATTCGTGCACGGATGGGGTGCAGCCGGCCCGCCCTGGTGCAGGGGGAGGGGGAGGCCGATTGGGCTGGGCAGGCTGGGGGAAGGGCTGCGGGCAGTTGTCCGGCCGGCCCCACCCCCTGGTCGAACTCCCGGTCAAAGGGACAATTTGCATATTAGCCTTTTATTACATAGGATATGTATTCACTAGATCAAGGGTCCTCAAACGACAGCCCGTGGGTCACACGCAAATACAAATATTGTATTTGTTCCCGTTTTGTTTTTTTACTTCAAAATAAGATCTGTGCAGTGTGCATAGGAATTTGTGCATAGTTTTTTTTTTAAAACTATAGTCCGGCCCTCCAGCGGTCTGAGGGACAGTGAACTGGCCCCCTGTTTAAAAAGTTTGAGGACCCCTGTCCTAGACGGTTTGCTTAAGTCTGAAAGTGGTGACGATGGGCAGTCACCTCTTCAAATATTAAACAACTCCCTCAAATAAATATCTGCACCGACTCTGTCCTTCGAAATGCAGTTGCATTACTTGCATCTCTAGGTCCCTGATAAGCTCCCTGGCCTCATCGTTCCATTATCCTATATAATAATAAAAGGCTGATATGCAAATTGTCCCCTGACCTGGAGTTCAACCCGGAGTTTGACCAGGGGGCGGGGCTGGCCAGTCAACCTCCGGCGGCCCCTCCCCCTGGCTGGCCCGGCCTGATTGGCCCCAATCGGAGCGGGTCGCCTGGACCCCACCACCTGTGCACGAATTCGTGCACCAGGCCTCTAGTTAAGTATATTTTTACATCATCTGCCATACGGTTTATAATGTCCGCCCCCCACCCCCAGTTTGTCACTAGGTTAGGCTATTTTTTTTACTAAGCAACTATGCTTAGTCATATGCTAATTAGACCAGATGTCTTCCGGACATCCTTCCAGACAACGCCACGGTGGCAGGGGCTGAGGCAGAGGCGGTGAGGGGCGATCAGGCCAGCAACCTGTTTGTGTGTGTGGATAAGATGTTTTTATTTGTTTTGTTTTTATTTCAGAGAGGAAGGGAGAGGGAGAGAGACAGAAACATCCATGATGAGAGAGAATCAAGGATCGGCTGCCTCCTGCACGCCCCCCACTGGGGCTCGAGCCCGCAACCCGGGCCTGTGCCCAGATGGGGAATCGAACCCTGACCTCCTGGTTCCTAGGTGGATGCTCCACCCCTGAGCCACGCTGGCCGGGCCCTCCTACGCTTTTTCTCTCTGAGTTTCTCCCAAAAGTCCTCTAAGTTCTCCCACCCAACAAAAGCCCATCCGTCCCTTGAGAAAGGGATCGAAGTGTGTGAGCCCCGAGGGATTCCTCTGATATCGAATCAGAACGCGCTGCTCATCGTTATTTTCTCGGGGGGAGGGAAGGAAGACACAGCCACGGCTCCAGGCTCCGGTCCATGCATCCTTTATTCCGCGACCCACCCCCGAGCCACGTCCGAGCCACAGCACGCGGACTGGCCATCGACCGTGATCCCGCCTGACCACGGTCTGAGGCTGACAGTACATTTAAGGCTTTTAATTTGAGGGGGAAAAAAAGAGAAAAGAAATGAAAGCAAAACCCCTCCAAACCCAAACCCAAACCCAAACCCCCTACCAAGACGAGCAGCGTAGCAACGTGGAGCATCTTCCGTGTCTGACGCGTAGAAGACGCCACTCCAGCGCCCAGACCCACATCCCCGCTAAACTAAGAAGACGCGATTCGTGGGATTTCAGGGACATCAGTTCTTCAAAGCATCAACGGGGTGTTTTCTTTTTCTTCCTTTTTTTTCTTTTTTTTTTCTTTTTTTGTCTTGGAAATGGTATAAAAATTTTTTTTAATAGCAAAACCGAGGAATAAAAACGTATTAACAAAATGTACCCAACCGTGTACATTACAGACGAGGACTCTGCAGTTCATTGATGGATCCGGACGGTGGGGGGACAGGGACCCGTTAGGGATCGATGCACAAGGTCATGGCAAATCCGGACGGGACTTCGTGAAAAGCTTGCCGAAGGGTTTGCCGGGAGGAGAAGGCCGGCCGGGCTCTGGTTAGGGGACCAACCCGACCATCAACGTAGGAAAACTGTGGACTGAGTAATAAATGGATATTTGAGAGAAAAAAAACAAAACCAAAAAAAACCACCAGTTTCTTTTTGTTTAAGAATATTCCCGTGATGGCTCCACGGTTCTAGTTGGTGAAGCCGGTCAGGGTAAGTCCAGTAGATACCCTTCCAATGATCTGTTTTGGGGGAAAGGCCAGCATGGTAACCAAAGTTAAGGGCCCCGGCCGGTGTGGCTCAGTGGATAGAGCGTCGGCCTGCGGACCGAAGGGTCCCGGGTTCGATTCCGGTCAAGGGCACGGACCTCGGTGGCAGGCTCCTCCCAGGCCTGGGCCCTGGTTGGGGGCTCGTGCAGGAGGCAACCCATCGATGTGTTTCTCCCACATCAATGTGTGTGTGTCTCTCTCTCTCTCTCTTCCACTCTCTCTAAAACAGTGGTTCTCAACCTTCCTAACGCCGCGACCCTTTAATACCGCTCCTCATGCTGTGGGGACCCCCAACCATAACATTATTCTCGTTGCCACTTCATCACTGTCATGTTGCTGCTGTGATGAATCATCATGTAAATATCTGATATGCAGGATGGATTTTCATTGTTACAAATTGAACATAATTGAAGCGTTGTGATTCATCACAAAAACCATATGTGATTATAGATGTGTTTTCCGGGGTCTTAGGCGACCCCTGCGAAAGGATCGTTCGACCCCCCAAAGGGGTCACAACCCCCAGGTTGAGAACCAACCGCTCTAAAAGATTAATGAAAAAATAGCCTCGGGCGAGGATTAACCAAAAAAAAAAAAGAAAGAAAGGAAAGAAAAAAGGTTAAGGAATTTTAGTCACCAGTGTTTTAGTTGCTCTATCACAGCTTCACCCGTGAATGCGGAGGACATGGGGGAGGGGAGGGCGAGGTGGGTCCTGCTTCAATGAACCCCAAGTGATGGGTAAGGAAGCCACGCAGCTGGGAGGATCCTCACCCGGCACGAGAACCCGTCGTCCCCCCCCAGCCCTCCTTCCCGACCCCCCAAAGGTCACGAAGCTGGAGCCACAGCAGGTCCGAGTCGGAGATGATGCGAATCAGTAGAAATTCTCTAGCTACTCGGCCGAGGCCTCCGGGGCCCTCGGGTGAGAACAGTGAGAACGCTGGCGTCCGGGCCGGGCGCTTCCCCCCGGTCGCCGGCCGTGGCCGTGGCCGTGGCCGTGGCCGTGGCCGTGGCCGCCACCCGGGAGAGCGTGTGCGGGAACAGAGGGCCCGGCGTTCGCTGTCACTGAGGTAAGAACCCGGGGCGCCCTCAGGAGTTGGGCAGCTCGTGGGAGATGAACTGTTTTAGCCTCTCCAGGTATTGTGCGTAAAGCTCTATGTCGTTGTGGCCGGCGCCCTCCACCCACAGCGGCTCCACGGCCCGCGGGCAGCGCTCGTACATGGCCAGGCCGTGGGAGAAGTCGATGACCTCGTCCTCCGTCCCGTGGATGACCAGCACCGGGGAGGTGACCTTGGAAATCTTGTCGATGCTGCGGAGAGAAGAGGGGGTTGGGGGCGGGGGGCGGGGGAGAAAGGAATCTTGAGTGAAGCTCGCAGACAACATCCCAGACCAATTCCTCCTTTTCTAGGTCAGCGGTTCTCAACCTGGGGGCCGCGACCCCTTTGGGGGTCGAACGACCCTTTCGCAGGGGTCGCCTAAGACCGTCGGAAAACACATCTGTAATGACAGATGGTTTCTGTGATGAATCGCTATGCTTTCATGATGTTCAATTTGTAACCGTGAAAATAAAGGGTGTCCCAAAATTCACGCAAGAAGTAATTTTGATAGGAAACACAGGTTTATAATGAAAAATTGTAATTTTTTTATTGATCCATAAAGTAGACAGTCTAGGGTTACGTGTGGAATAGCACATCGGGTCAGTGGCCTCCCCGGCTTTGCTGGCACAGACGCAAAGCCGCGGTCTTCATTGGTCTTCCTTGTCCCTGCTCCTGGGCCGTCATTGGTACTTGGTGATGCTTATCCAATGGAAGGGATTGACATCAAAGGGCAACAGATATGAGAATCTGATTCAATAAACCAAGTAAAATTAGGCTTTTGTGTTTTTTTTTGTTGTTGTTAATGCTCACGCAAAATTCAAATCTTGCGTGAATTTTGGGACACCCTTTACATCCTGCAGATCAGATATTTACATGACGATCCATCACAGTAGCAACATGACAGTGATGAAGTAGCAACGAAAATAATGTTATGGTTGGGGGTCCCCACAGCGTGAGGAACCCTATTAAAGGGTCGCGGCGTTAGGAAGGTTGAGAACCACTGCTCTAGAAATTCTTAATTTTAAGACACTTTTTATTGATGTCAGAGAGGAAGGGAGAGAGAGAGAGAGAGAGAAACATCCATGATGAGAGAGAATCGTGGATCGGCTGCCCCCTGCAAGCCCCACACTGGGGATGGAGCCCACAACCCGGGCCTGTGCCCCGACGGGGAATCGAACCCTGACCTCCTGGTTCCTAGGTCGATGCCCAACCACTGAGCTGGGCGTCTTAGGGACCTTTCTTTTCAAGGCGATCGCTCACATGGTTAAACAGTGACCAGAGCCGGGAGCCTTTCGCCCTTTGCACAGGAGACCTCGTGGGACGTGGAACGGGGGGCGTGGGCGAGAGGAAAGGTCATCTGTGTAGCAGGGAGGGTCCGAAGCTCAGAGATAAACCGCCATCCGAGGCCACGGGGACAGCGAGGGGCGGTGAGGTCACACACAGTCCTCCCGTCTGCAAACAGCTGCCCAGCCGTGAAGAGCGACGCCGGGGAGGGGCAGAGCTTCGCCAAGATCAGAGCCACGGCGGCAGCCGCAGCGTGCTTATAGCCCTGGCCGGTGTGGCTCAGTGGATAGAGCGTCGTCCTGTGGACTGCAGAGTCCCGGGTTCGATTCCCGGTCAGGGCACATGCCCGGGTTGCGGGCTCGACCCCCAGTGTGGGGCGTGCAGGAGGCAGCCAGTCCATGATGCTCTCTCATCATGAATGTTTCTATCTCTCTCCCTCTCCCTTCCTCTCTAAAATCAATAAAAATATATTTTTTAAAAAAGAGTCGTGTTTATAAATTACCTCCCCCTGCATGTAACATCAAAGCCCTAATTGGTGTGGCTCAGTGGACAGAGCGTCGGCCTGCGGACTGAAGGGTCCCAGGTTCGATTCCGGTCAAGGGCATGTACCTGGGTTGCGGGCACATCCCCAGTAGGGAGTGTGCAGGAGGCAGCTGATCGATGTTTCTCTCTCATCGATGTTTCTAACTCTCTGTCCCTCTCCCTTCCTCTCTGTAAAAAATCAATAAAATATATTTTTTTTTTAAAAAAAGAATTCGCGAATCCAATAACATTCCACTTAAAAGATGCGTCCCAGCCCTGGCCAGTGTTTCTCAGTGGATAGAGCATCAGCCTGAGGACCGAAGGGTCCCGGGTTCGATTCCCGGTCAAGGGCACATGCCCAGGTTTTGGATGTTTCTTTCTCATCAATGTTTCTGTCTTTCTCTCTCTTATTTTGTCTCTCTAAAAATCAACAACAACAAAAAATATTTTTTAAAAAAGTGTGCAAGTCCCTGACGGCATAAAAACATTTTTTTTAAAAAAATCAACAAATGCCCTAACTGGTGTGTCCTAGTGGATAGAGCGTCGGCCTGCAGACAGAAGGGTCCCAGGTTCGATTCCGGTCAAGGGCATGTACCTTGGTTGCGGGCACATCCCCAGTAGGGGGCGTGCAGGAGACAGCTGATCGATGTTTCTCTCTCTCCCCCTTCCTCTCTCTCTAAAACCAGTAAGTAAAAAAATTTTTTTAAAAGGAGGGAGCGTGGGCAGGCTAGAAGGGGTCAATAGAAAAAAAACGAGGGGGACATATGTAATACTTTCAAAAATAAAGATTTTTTAAATATATATTTTTATTACTTTCAGAGAGGAAGGGAGAGGGAGAGAAACATCCATGATGAGAGAGAATCATGGATCGGCTGCCTCCTGCACGCCCCCAACTGGGGATCGAGCCCACAACCCGGGCATGTGCCCTGACCGGGAATCGAATCCGGGACCCTTCAGTCCGCAGGCCGACGCTCTACCCACTGAGCCACACCGGCCAGGGGCAAAAATAAAGATTTTTTTTGAAAAAAGAACATGGGAAGGGACCCTCCTTTATGAGATCTTCCTTTTTCATTTCTTTCTTTATTATGTTTTTTAATCTTCGCTGGAGGATATGTTCCCATGGATTTTTAGAGAGAGTGGAAGAGAGAGGGACAGATAAGAGAGAGACATCGATGCGAGAGAGACGTGTGCCCCGACCGGGAATGGAACCGTGACCTCCTGGTTCATAGGTCAAGGTCGACGCTCGGCCCCTGAGCCCCGCCGGCCGGGCCCCCGAGGCCGCGTTTAGCCCGATGCCCGGAGGGCCGCACACTCCACCCTCCGGCAAACACTGGCGGCTGCTTGACCGTTAATGAGTGAGCTGAAGAGTCATTCAAAACGGCTGTTCGCTCTGTTGCCAGGGCAACGCACGCCAAGCACCGCCCTTTCAGCCACTGGCCGGCCTCTCGTAGCCAATTCAGTGCCAACCAGGCCGCCCGGGAGGCGCCCGCCGGCCACTTAGCATTCCCGGCCACAGCCCTGGGGCGGGCAGTGCTGGGCGCTCCCCGGGCACAGAATTCACCGGGTCCCGACACACGCGGCCTTGAACTGGCTCACCCCCGGGGTGCCCATGTCCCTCCTGGTGAACAAGGCCGGCCGTGTATGCACAATTACGTGACCACAGTTCACCCCCAGCAGCTGCAGAAGGACCATCAAAACCCTCAAAGCCCGGCCCGTGTGGCTCAGTGGTTGAGCGACGGCCTGTGAACCAGGAGGTCACGGTTCGATTCCCGGTCGGGGCCCACGCCCGGGGTGCAGGGTTCGATCCCAGGCCGGGGAGCACGCGGGAGGGAAGCAATGGATGTTTCTTTCTCACATCAACGTTCCTCCCTTGCTCTCTCTCTCTTTCCTGTTCTCTCAAAATCCCTGAAAATGTCCTCAGGTGAGGATTAAAAAAAAAAAGTCCCTCGAGGGCATGCTCAGTGCTGAGCTGGACAGCCCTCGGACGGAAGGGTCCCGGGTTCGAATCTGGTCAAGGGCGCGGACCTCGGTGGCCGGCGGGCTTGCTCCCTGGCCCTGGTTGGGGCGCCGGCAAGAGGCAACCTGTGGACGTGTCTCTCGCATCCGTGTTTCTCTCTGTCTCTCCCCGTCCCTTCCTCTCTCTCTAAAAAGTAATCCATGCCTCTGACCTGTTGGGCTCAGGGGAATAGAGCGTCGGCCTGCGGACTTGAAGGGTCCCAAGGTTCCGATTCCGGTCCAGGGGCATGTACCTTTGGCTGGCAGGGCACATCCCTAGTGGGGAGGATGTTCATGGAGGCAGCTGATTGATGTTTCTCTCTCATCGATGTTTCTGACTCTCTCTCCCTCTCCCTTCCTCTCTGTAAAAAATCAATAAAATATATTTAAAATAAATGAATAAAAATAAAAATCGATCCATGGGAAAGTGCCCCGGGGTGAGGATCCACAACAAACCAAGCGAACCTGTGGTGCCTGCAGTCTGCCCCTCGCGTGCACCCCACGCTAAGCGCCTGTCACACCTCTGCACGCGGCTCTCGGCGATTCAGCAGCCCACGCTCCCCCGGTGCACGAACTCTGAGCCCCGAGCTCCCTCCCTCCGTCCCTCCCCCCGCATCAACCTATGAACCAGGAGGCCAGGGTTCGATGCTCTGTCTCCCACACAGACAGATGGAGCAGGAAAGCCCGGGGGCCAGTCCCAGCGAACGGGGCCCTCGGACGCCATCGGGGGGATCTGCACGGCCGGCCACACCCCGAGGACCACGCCTGGCCCGGCGGGCGTGTCCTGTCGCCTCCGTGTCCCCGAAGGCGCTGGCACGGGGGTGACAGTTACTGGCATCGTCAGGCCAGGACTTGGGGCGTGGGGTGCAGGCGGGCTTACCTGGGGAACACGTCGAAGCAGTAGGTCTTCCGGGTGTCGGGAAAGGCCACGCGCAGGCCGGACATGAGCGGCGAGTGCAGGATGACGGCGGCGCACTCGTACCGGGAGGCCAGGTCCACGGTGGGCACGGTGCCGATGCTCTGCCCGTACAGGATGATGTTCTCGGGGCTCACGCCGTACCTGCAGGGCCAGAGGGGCGCGCCGTGAGCCGAGAGCGGCCGGGAGAGACCAGAACCACGTGTCTGTCCGGCCGAGTGGGGCTCAGTGGCTGAGCGTCGGCCTAGGAACCAGGAGGTCAGGGTTCGATTCCCGCTCAGGGCACAGGCCTGGGTTGCTGGCTCGATCCCCAGTGGGGCGTGCAGGGGGCAGCCGATCCATGATTCTCTCTCATCATGGATGTTTCTCTCTCTCTCTCTCCCTGTCCCTTCCTCTCGGAAATCCATCCTAATATATAAAAAGCCAGGGGCTGTGATGACTTAAACAACCAGACGACCAAACAGCAGGCTGCGTGGGGTGACCAGGCTGGTGGGGGGGCAGTGAGGGGTGACCAGGCTGGCAGGGGGGAGCAGTGAGGGGTGACCAGGCTGGCAGGGGGGAGCAGTGAGGGGTGACCAGGCTGGCAGGGGGGGCAGTGAGAAGTGACCAGGTTGGCAGGGTGGGCAGTTGGGGGTGACCAGGCCAGCTG